GACCTATCCGAGGTTATATGTCTGAGCCTTGCTCGATAACGTTAACGTATATGAAGAGGTCGAGAGAATCCACCAAGGATGTATGACCTATCCAAGGTTGTATGTCAGATCCATACTCTATGATATTAACCTATATGGAAGAGGTCGAGAGAATCCACTAAGGATGTATGTCAGAGCGCTGCTTAATGACGTTAACCTGTGTGGAAGAGGTAGAGATAATCCACCAAGGATGTATGACCAATCTGAGGTTGTGTGTGTGAGTGTTGCTTGATGATGTTAACCTATGTGGAAGAAGTCGAGAGAATCCATCAAAGGTGTATGAATTATCTGAGATTGTATATCAGAGCCCTACTTGATAATGTTAACCTGTATAAAAGAGGTCAAATCAAATCCCCCTGGTATTAATTTTTTCTTGATTGGGAGGGGCGAATGCCACGTGTATCCCAAATCAAAGGTGAAGAATGATCTATCTTTAGACCGTAACTTCCTTTTTGAGATCGAGACTAAGACATTGCCCAAGAAGTAGAAGTCCAACAATGAACTTTATAAAGCTTATAATTGATTAGAAGTATCCAAATATTTGCTGAGATTTTCTTGAAATATTATCCTGATGTTGAAAGCATTGAATAATCCTTTTGACTATGGTTAGAGCCAAGGTTACCCCTAGTCCGGATCTAATTCCCATAAAATTGATGCAATAAGAGCTGATGTCAGGAATTTGACATGAATGACCTTTTGATGATGGATAAAATTACCCCCCCCCCCCCCCCCCTTGGGGAAATATTCACGGTGGTAGAGAAATATAAAGTTTAGCATCTTAGCATTGTATGAAGATCTAGCACACAAGCAGATAAGAGAGAGGGTGTAGTGTTCATAAGAGACATAAGAGTTTTTAATGGAAACGTTAAAAAAAGGGGAAAACCCATGGGGCCTTGCCTAATTTGAATGAAACCACTAATATTTGCAGTCGATTACAAATAAGGCCCTTCCTTGGGAGAAGGCCTTAGCTTGAAGTCACAAATGTACATCATATAGAGTGCATTACATAGTGGGAGTTACAATAATCAACATAGCAAAATTTGTTTGGTCGGTAGGACCATAGTCGATGGGATAGAGGTCATAAAGATCGTAATAGGCAGGAGACCGGGTTAGAAAGATTGTTGTCTGGCTATGAAGGTCGGGAGGACTATAGTAGTTGACGGAGGTTGGAATAATCATATTCAGCAGGAGACAAGGGCCTGAAAGAACGTAGTTAGTAGGTAATTGGTGTTAGAAAGACCGTTGTCTGGCGATGAAGGTCGAAAGGACCATTGTAAGAAATAGAGGTTAGAAGGATCGTAGTCAGCACGAGGCTAGGGTTAGAAAGACCGTAGTAGTAAGGCGGTACTCTGGTAGGACATTGGGCTTCAGGTGGTGGACTGGCAGAAGTCCGTGCCTCAGGTGGTGGTTTGGTAGAAGTCCGGGCCTCAGGTGGTGGTTCAATAGAGCTCCGGTCCTCAGATGGTGGTCCTGCAGAACTCCGAACCTCTGCTGGTGGTCTAGTAGAACTCAGGGCTTCAAGTGGTTGTCTGAAGGAGCTTAGGGCCTCACGTGGTGGTCCGGCAGAGCTCAGGGCCTCAAGTGGTGGTTCTGTAGAGCTCATGGCCTCAAGTGGTGGTCTGGCGGAAGTCAGGGTCTTAAGTGGTGGTCTGGTGGTGCTCATGGCCTCAAGTGGTAGTCCGGCGGAGCTCAGGACCTCAAGTTGTGGTCCGGCGAAGTCAAAGACTTAAGTGGTGGTCCGGCGGAGCTCAAGGCCTCAAGTGGTGGTCTGGCAGAGCTCAGGCCTCAAGTGGTGGTCCGATGGAACTCCATGCGGTGGTCGAGGAGGAATAAGGAGGCAAGAGCACTCTCCGATATCTCTCTTCCTCTCTTGCTTCGAGCCCCCCTTTTAAGAGGGAGAAGGGGTCTATTTATAAATTCTTTAGAGTGGCATGACCCGTAAATAGGAGGAAGATCAAGGGTAAATGGGGAGTGGTTTGGATGGACGCCCGATGTCCAGCCCCTTGATCACGAACTGTTCGTTATACATTGGAAGCTGTTAATGATGTTGGAATTCCTTGATCTTTGGCTCATTGGATTTGTCTCGTTAAGCCGCTCGATTTGATTATAAGCATGTCAAATTTGGAAACTGTTTGGTAGTCCAAATTGTGGTTTGAACCGTCCAGTTGTGCTTCAGACCCTTGATTTGGACCCATTCGGGCTCGGATTGTGTTGAATTGGGTGTCGTTAGGTTTGTATTTTTGAGAAGTTCAGTTCGACTGTAAGTTTGCTGAAATCGGATTTCAAATGGTTCCAATTTTAATTTTGAAAGTTTCCAACTTGATTTTGTCTCGAGATTCGTGCCCGATCCAAATAATTTTTTGAAGACGTGTTAGCTGTCATTTATAAGCATTGATCTTATAGGAAATATCATGCATCGATATTGATGGCATCGACATATAATGAAATTTTTAGATGCTAGCATTAGTGTCGTTTGCATGCATTAGTCTTATATCGATATCATGCATCAACAAAATTGGAGATTATGGGCAAAGAAGCCAAGGAGGGTAGGCAAAAGTCCGACGATGGTGGCCAAGAGAAGGTCAGGCAATGATTGCAAGAAGTTTGTCGGCGTTAGTTCTCTTTAGGAGCTCCGAGATTTTTCAACCGTCATAGCCCTTCTGACTCTCTTGACATAGTCCAAACGCCTCCATATTGCGAGTAGGGTTCTCTTAAAATAATTTTTGAAGTGCCATACTACATAAATATAAAGAATATTTGGTGCAGATATATGGCACTCCATCGGATGACTTATAAAGATTTATTCAATTATAGAGTGTTCCTTCAGTATTTAAGTACCTTAATGATGTAAGAAACATGCAATCTTAGGCTAGTTGGATTTATCTTGTCGAGTCGCTCGGTCAAACTATAAGTGTCATATTTATAGATCATTTTGTCATCCAGTTTAAGTCCCGAAGCTTCCAAATATGCATTAAGCCCTTAGTATGGGCCATTTGGGCTCATATTAGATCAATTTAAGTGTCATTGAGTTCATCTTGTTGAAACTTTTAGTTTGAAAATAAGTTTATTGAAATTAGAATTCATATGTTCCAAAATGTAATATTGAAATTTTCCTATTCAAAAAGCCTTGAGATTTATGCCCGGGCAAGATGATTTTCATTTTTTCTTTCAAAATAATTGAGCCGAGTTAAACTCAAAGAATAAAACTTAAACTTAAGCTCAAACTTTATTAACTAATCATGATCGAGCGATAAGGCATATTCGTCTTAGAGTCATTTTGACTCTTTCCTTTATATTGTTAAAATAAATTATGAAAACAACGTTTTATAATTATGTGAAAAAAAAAAACAGAAAAATTATTTACAAATAAAAGACAAATATTCCAATATATTTTCTTACATATGTGGCATTTTTTAAAAATAAAAACTAAACATAATACGTATTTTAAAATTTTTATAATTTTTTTAATTGAGTGCTCGTATACAATTAATATTTTTTACTTTTATCAAAATAGGTTAACGGTAATCTGGCCTGAATCTAATTAAAATGACTTGATTATTTTTTTTTAATAACTTATCAACTATAAAGTTTACCTTAATGGATAAAAAATGAGAAAATTATATCAATATGTAAATGAATTTCAGAAAAAAAAAAATTAAAGGCATCACTTTCGGTCAAAATCAGATCTATTTAATAAACAGGTTAAAATTTTTGAACCGAACCCAACTCATTTATTAAATAGGCCAAACATAATCCAAATTTTTATAGATCAATTTGATGGATTGGAGCATTTATTTCCACCCCAATAATTATTCAATATAAATTAAAAGTGACATTCATTAATAAATAAATGGTAACGGAATTATACAATATTTCGAATTAATACAAAATTAATGTGCGTTTATGGTCGCGCTAACACAGATGTTTGAATAATTCACTTCAAAATTTCTAGCATATGCAAGATAGAAACATCAATTAATAACATCCATTGATCCCCACAAAGCGACATCTCAACCGTTCAAATTCTCTACCCCATTCCGATGCGGGACCGCAAGACCCACAGTTGTTCTTTTTTGACCGTTCACCGGCCCAAAATTAGAAATGCAGACCGCCCGCTGCCTTCCTGCCACGTGGGATCTCAATCAGAGAATTTTTATTAATATATTTATTCAATATTTAGGTGATTTTAATTTAAATATATCGTTTTGAAGGAGCGTATCATTCTATTTGATTTGCAGGAAATGCCACTTGGCATATACGGTGCGGGGCGGCGCACCAGATAACGAGTAGGTTAAGGTTGCAGGTGTTATGGGTGAGACAAGTATGACTCTTAAGGCCTACCTTTCATTAATAACCCTCCACATCAGCATAAGTGCACATAATAATGTGCAAGATAAGAGCATGAATTTTTACTAATCTTTTTAATTATGACATATAATATTAATCATTTTTTTTTCAAAAAAAAAAAAAATGCAAATGAGCCAAACCAGCACGTGAGCTCGCTAGATAAATTTCTCGTGAGCTGAGCGAACTTGGACTCAACTCGTTACCTCGTAAGCCGATCCATTTGAGCTTGAACTCAATTAGGTCAAGCTCAAATTTGGGGAATTATTGTGTTCAGACACCGGACGATATCCGGAGCCCAATGAAAATGTGCTACATCACTTTCTACTCGGTACTGAACAGTACCGAACTCAGTATTTCTCAGTACTGCTCGGTATTGTTAAGTACCGAACTCCGTACTTCACAGTACCGAGCTCAGTATTACTCGGTACTGTAAAATACCGAACGTAAATTGTGTCCGATGTCCGAACTCAATAATCTCGCCTCAAATTGAGCTTGACTTGTATATAAACCTAAAAATTATATAATTTTTAATATTTTAATTTCCAGATAATTATTTTTAATAAATTTTTGAATAAATTCGGAGTTAAGAGATGTATTAAAGAGTCGTAATTTGAAAGGTTTTAAAAATGGGTGTGGACATATTTTCCGCCCTTTGTACTGCTGAGGTGGACCGAATTCGGACGGCCAGGATTTCCGTTGCAACCAAATTGATTCCGGCAATTAAAGAAGGGCCGATTCGCTCGGTTCCACCGCGGCGTCACCGTAGCTCATAAAATCGGGCATCCGCTTTCTTTGCTCCTTCCGCCGCCGCACGATTACTTCCTGTGCTCTCTCTCTTGCCTCCGAACGCTCGCAGCACTTGATTTTCGTTTTATTATCCGCTTACGAGTTTATATCCCAGGCAAAAGAAATCCAAATATCTCGCGCTTTCTCTTTCTGGACTCGATGACTAGATGAGGATTCCACTGACCGTCGCGACGGCCGCGGCGGTTTTCCTCATCGTTCTGGTCGCCGACGTGGAAGGATTTGGCTCCGCCGCCACCATGGCCGTTGTGGATTCTTCCGGCACAGTTTGTGGCATCCTTGCCAGCGCCAGGCCGCAGAGCATCCTATGCGCGCGAGCAGGGCAGCAGGCGTTCTCCGTATTACCAAGCTTCTCCTTTGAGTCGGTCTCTGGTGGCCGTGACTTCTTCTGCGGGCTTAGGTCCGGTGGACTCAGCTTCTTCTGTTGGAGCGCCACAGATTCCTCCTCCATCTTTCTCCCAGCAAAGCGGGTCTATAAGGGTTCCGTTGCCCTCACCGACCTTAGTGTTGGTGAAGACCAAATTTGCGCCTTTGATAAGAACACCACCGAAATCAGGTGGTGGCGTGGGGACGGAACATTTCCGCTAACCATCCCCGGAGAATACCAGTCGCTCACCTCAGGGAGAGGGTTTTCATGCGGGATTGGGAATAACACCATCGTGCAATGTTGGGGAGGCCGTGGCTCCGATATTCAGAGCGCGTTTGCGAATGTTTCGATGGCGAGCATCGTTGCTGGAGACTCCCATGTCTGCGGAATCACCATCTCAGGATTCTTGATCTGCAAGGGAAGCAACAGTTCCGGTCAATTGAATGCTCCATCTGGCGGTGCCTTCGAGTTCTCCGGCATAGCCCTCGGGCTGAACCATTCGTGTGCTATTAAACAGCCTAATGGGACAGTTCTCTGTTGGGGTGGCTTCGCCGGCGGCCGGCCCTATTCTCCAGTGGTAGGTACTATGTTCGAATCAATCGTTGCAGGCGGCGATCTTACCTGCGGGTTGATCACCGAGAATTTTACAGTGATGTGCTGGAAAACGGACCGCTTCAACATCTCCGTCATTGTTTTGTCTCTACCAAAAATCCTTCCAGGAATCTGCGTTCCTGAGCAAAGCACTTGTAAATGTGGCATCTTTCCAGATTCAGAGTCACTCTGTTCTGGATCCGGCATCATCTGCAGACCCTGCGGGGCTCCCACCAATAATTTAGCTCCGCCTCCTCCGCCTTCAGCAGCTGAACCACCAAATTCCACCCTGCCGCCGCCATCTCCATCGTCAAAGACAAGCAAATGGTGGCTTGCATTCGCCATCATAGGCTCAGTTGGTACCTTAGCAGGGCTGTGCGCCGTCCTGTATTGCATCTGGACTTGCTTTTTCCGGCGAAAGAAAGTCCACAATTCTGTGCAGCCCACCATCTCCCGCAACGAAAACGCTGCAGCAGCAAATCCCGTAGACCCATCCTCCATTACCATACCAAGCCCCTTCACCTCTCCCTCCGGTTCAAAATCCCGCATTTTCCGGCGTCATGGTTCCCGCATCATGCGGCGTCAACGCAGTGGTCCCTCCTCTTTCAAAGACCGCGCCGAGGTATTCTCTTTCGCCGACCTGGCATCCGCTACCAAAAACTTCTCCTTAGAATTCAAACTCGGCGCCGGCAGTTTCGGTACCGTCTACAAAGGTAAACTCGCCGACGGCCGAGAGGTCGCCATCAAACGCAGCGAATCAAGCCTGAAAGCCAAAAAAATCGAGGAGAAAGAAAGCGCCTTTCAGTCCGAGCTCGCCTTCTTATCACGCCTCCATCACAAACACCTAGTAGGCTTCGTGGGCTATTGCGACGAAAAAGAAGAGCGCCTCTTAGTATACGAGTACATGAAGAACGGCGCCCTGTACGACCACCTCCACTCCCGAGCCGCCGAATTGGGGAAGCTGAATTCCTGGGGGATAAGAATTAAGGTCCTCCTCGACGCATCGCGAGGAATCGAATACCTACACAGCTACGCTGTGCCGCCGATCATCCACCGCGACATCAAATCATCCAACATATTGCTCGACGGCGAGTGGGTTGCACGAGTATCGGACTTCGGGCTCTCTCTTATGGGGCCGGAAGTGGAAGGAGACTACCTATCGATGAGGGCGGCGGGGACGATGGGTTATATGGACCCGGAGTACTACGGTCTGCATCATCTGACGACGAAGAGTGACGTGTACGGCTTCGGCGTGGTGATGCTCGAAGTACTAACGGGAAGGAGGGCGATATTTAGGGAAGGGGAAGGAGGTGAACCGCTGAGCGTGGTGGACTTCGCAGCGCCAAGCATTGCCGCCGGCGAGCTAGGGAGGGTGCTCGATCCTCGGGTGGCGCCACCGGGACCGCGGGAGGCGGAGGCCGTGGAGCTGGTGGCGTACACCGCGGTGCATTGCGTCAACTTGGAGGGGAAAGACCGACCGGCAATGTCGGACGTCGTGATGAATTTGGAAAGCGCGCTTGCGATTTGCGATGCGTCGAATGGGAGCGGATCCAGCAACAGCATTTCCCTTGTTTCCTTGGATTGATTGAAATGAGTAAATGACCATTTTCTTCATTCGATTCCTGCTTGCTTCCTTGAGCAGGGAAAATAGGATTTTGAGACTTATTTTTGGGGGAATTTCTTTTCTTTCATTTTAAATCTATGATTTTTTCTTAAATTTTATTTGATTTTTAGGTATATTTGTACATGTTCATAAAAATTCTGACGTTTTGGTGGATGGAATTGAAAAGGGTGAAGGGTTGTTTTCTTTTATTTATATATATATTTTATTGATTCTATGAAGAATTGATAGATTACCCGATTGAGCCTTTGTATTAATTTTAACATTTTTTCAAATAGAACTTTTTTTTATTAAATTTTCTATGAATTAGGTCTAGAATAGATATGCTTCTATATGAAAAAAAAAATGTTTACATATTTTGTGGGACAATAAGCAATTTATTTTTTAATATTTTGGCTTTTAATTTTGAAAAGCATGTAAATTATAAATAAAATAGAAAATTTTAAAGGAGCTTAAGAAAAAAATGTAGGTGTTGATCATGCTTGTTTATGCATCACATCAAATTATATTAAAAATAATGAGTGAAAAATGAGTAGACAAATAGGAAGGGAAAGAGAGAATTCTTGGATGAGAAGATCCCAAGATTTTTACCTATTCATCTTTTATTTATAATTGGGTGATAGACAAAAACTTTATAGAATAAATTTTGTGGTGAAAGTTATCTTTAAGAGATCGTTTATTATATATTTAGTCATTGACTATATTGATTGAGATTGGGTGAATGGATGATTAGAAAGATAAGTTCTATGACTCTAATCACATATAAGATGTTGTCCATTTTATGTTGTAATTAAAGTTATCCCTATTCTTGATTTGATTGATAAAATGGTGGCAAGGGATTGCCCCGCTATAGTCATGTCTTAGACAATAACGAGAATGACATTTCTTTGTTGAAGCAATGGCTTCCTATAACTAAGAATTTAGTCTTATACGCAATGTTAAACTAGTGTGTGCTAAAATATTCATAATGCTATTAGGAGTGTTTAATATCATATCCTTGTATGAAGATCCATCACTCACATACGTATAGATTAAAGAGGGTCATAAAAACACTAAAGTTTTCGATGAAAAACTTAAAATGGAAAATTTATGGGACCTGACCCAATTAAAATGATTCTATTGAAGTTTTTATTGGCTACAAATGATGTCATTTTTTATGATTAGAGAAGGTGCTAATATAATATAGTAGATATACTCTCCATAGAATGAATTATATTATGGAAGTTAGAAAAGTTATATGGCATTAGAGCTGTCTATAAGGTATCATTTTTTATTTGCTTTCATATTCTTTGAGGGGATGCCAAAGACCAAGAAATTTAATATAATCATAATGTTGATGTTGAGAGTCAAAGCTAGTGTCAATGATATGCATTAGTCATATAGGCCATAGCTTTGTATCAACACTATTGGTAATGGTAAGTAGCAAAGTTGACATGCATCAATTTTATTGTTTGCATTTTATATTTTATGTATTGTTAATGACTCTTTATGCATTTAAATAAATATTTTTATTTTTAGAGAGCATCCCAAGGGTTCTATGTGTGAAAAATTTGCATGTCTAAAATTTTTACATGGGAGTGCTATGGTACTATTCTAGAAGCATTGTGACACTTAGCTCATTATATTTTAAATTTAGAAAAATGAGAAAAAAATATGGAATTTTCGGAAGCATTGCAATGCTGGGTTGCCAACTTCACAGCCAGTGTTCTTTATTTCTATGTATTTTAAGAGGAAGTTGCGGCATTGAATATCTAAGCGTTGTGATAATGTGAATGATTTTTTATATAAATATCCAAATCCACTATAAAAAAAATTCAAAATCATTTTCCTTTTTCTCAAATTTCAACCGACTAGAGAGAGGGTGAAATTCTAGTGAGAGAAAGTTCAATTGGAGCTACTTCTGGTCATTTTCATCCATCGCGCCAATTTTAGATACTATTCAGATCATGATAAATTATATTTGCTCTATCTATGTTTTAAATAATTTATAATTTTTTAAATTTTTAGGTTTTTATTTGAAATTGCAACATAAAATTGGGTATATTCCAACATCAAATGAATTTTCACTATGCAATTTTTAATACATTGTCGGAATGAATATTTTTAATATTTTGGAAAATTATTTATGAATTTCTAAAGTAGATTTCTATAAATATACTATTTTAAATAATTTGGAAAAAATATTCTGAAACCAATATATATTGTTGCAGAACAATAAAAGCTTTGAAATATAATTGTAAAGAACATATGATTATTTGGTTGTGATCTAAATATGTGAAAATTTGTATGTGAATTTACCTCAAATTTCTATCTATTTTTTTACTAATAGGGCACTCTGTGTATTTCTATAATAGGTATTATATATTGTTTATTATATCTATAAATATGATAGTTTTTGTGTTGATAGGCCTAAAATGTGTGATATGTATGAATAATATATTTTGCCTTTCACTTCTATTTTGTTTAAATTCTATTTTTTAATTTATTTAAAATTTATGTAGGTTCAATGTTGATTATTCAGCCATTATTTGCTCATGCCTACCATTTTGCGTCAATTTTAGGAAAGGGCAATGGAAAATGACAAATTAAGTAGAGATAGATATTTTATGTTTGTAGGTATGTTTTGTTAGAGATTTTGGCTATCATGGCTTTTCTATTATGTATTGTATTTTTTTATGCCATGTTCTATTTGTAAGGAAATAATTTGATGTCAATATTTTTATGATAAATGAAAAGATATTTGATTATGAGTATTTTCTATACTTATATGAAGTAAATTAGTGTATATGTAGTCTATAAATAATTGCAAATTTTGAAATTCTCAAAATTTTCTCCAATTATGTCATGGGAAATCTATTATGTCACAATACGACATGGCATGACCTAATTTGTATGTGGATTATGTCAAATTGGGTTATGACAGAAATTTTGATATAAGGGGAAATAATGATTATAATAAAGCCATAGGATTTATATGTAGATATTTTAGAAAGTTTTAGATAATTTCATGTGTTCTTTTTATCTTTGTTTTTGTGTGCATGTATTTATATCTAATAAATTTGTAGTATCCATAAATAACTAATGGTAGTGTTCCAATTAATCTTTCTCGGTATAAAGTATAGCAGGATTTGTCAGTACCCATTTTATTTCTCTGTTTATAGGGGGTAGCATAATTGATGGGCAAGGCCTAGAGTATGATGTTTATAGTTAGATATAATGATACCGACATGCATTTATGAATGTTTTTTAGATTATGATTTAGGGAAAATATGTAAACAAAATTACATTTAAGTTTTACTTTTCATTTGTAGACAAATAACTAGTTTGAAAGAACTATTCAAGTACCGGAAGATCTTTTTAGACTATGTATTATGAATTTTAATGGTTGCTGGAAAGACCACATCTCTTTTGATAGAATTTGCATATAACAATAGCTTTCAATCTAGCATTAATATGGCCCCTTACAAAGCTCTATATGATAGGAAGGGCAAGGCAAGACACCTTTATCTTGGACAAATATTGGAGAAAGAAATCTGATAGAGCCAATTTTAATAGATAATGCTACTAAAATTATCAACCTAATCAAGGATAGATTGAAATTTGTGTAGGATAGATAGAAGAAGTATTATGATTCATTACATTCATGTTAAGAAAAAATTATGTAATATTTTATTATGTTAAATACCAGTGAATATGTTTTTTCTTGAGTTAATGTTATGCAAAAATTTCTCAGGAAATAAAGAAAATAATGCCGTCTAGGGTTTGCTTTTAATCTTCTCTTGTCGTTCGTCCTTGCTGTTCGGCTTCATTGCTTCGCAGGTGTAGAGATTGCACGAGTTGTTTCTTCGGCTCCTTCGTTGTTGTTCGACTGTGTGTAGAGATTGCACGAGTCGTTTCTTCGGACGTTACAACATTTTGATCTGAAGCAACGACGGTAGCGCGCTCGCTGTGAAGGTAACTTTCTCCCTTTCGCGCGCTTCTTCGGCCAAATCCCTTTAATCTGACTTCTAGCGGGATTAGGATTTACCGGGATTTAGCGGATTTACGCTGTAAATCCGCAAATATGGGATTTACGGATTTGCCGGATTTACCGCTAATTTTTTTGCGTTTGGCTGGATTTACCATAAATCCTACTAAAAACTCGAAATAAATCCGATCCCAAACACCGCCTTAAAGCATTTTTTTTTCTTTCAAAAAATTTTTATCATTAAAAAAATTTTAAAAGGCTGTAAGAAATTCGTCGCAAACGAAACCTAGCTAATAAATCTCTCGAATTTTCCTTGTAATAATATGAAGTTACCAATCTCAAATATTTAATTCAAGTTGAATGAATGATTGAATATTATTTGTTCTCAATCATCACATGATTCATATAAGAAAACGGGTGGGTAAGCTGACTGACTCCTATGGTCTCGCAAATGCTGCAGATAAAGCATTCTAGAAGTGAAGCTGTGGCTTGTGGGAACAAAACTCGATGACCGACTGGCGCCCACGGTTGGCTGACTGACACTGTCGTGGTCGCCGCCCCGGCCGTGGACGAGGACCTTGCTTGCTTAGTTTGACCAAAGAATCCAAAAGAAGTTGGATTTTTTCTGTTCTTTTTTTCGTTGATGGAAATTATAATTTTTATTCTCATTTTACAATTCCGAGTGCCAGAATTATGGATATTTTTGTTTGGCCTTTTTGAAATTTTTTTCTTATTTAGGAGCTGCTGAAAAAATGAAATAAAATAGAAAACAGCGAGAAATAATAGTATTGTGCAAGGTTCTGAAAACCGGACCGGACAATGAACCGGAAGAAAGAGAGGTTCACGGTTCGACCGGTTCGACCGGTCTAACCGGGGTCGAACCGGATGACGTAATAAATAATATTATTATTATAAAAAAATAATAAAATTAACAAAATAATGAAATTTAATAACCATATAATTTCATATAAATTATTGTTATTTTATATTACATATTTAGATTTAATTTATAAACATAAATTATTTAAAAGCTCATAATATACAATTATAAATATAATTAAATATTTTTATATAAATTATTTCATTTGGCAACATCTAAAAATGTTAAAAAAAATTACCATATTATTTACAAAGTTTTTTAACAATATAATATTTATCAAATATGTTAAAAAACTTAATATTTACAAAGTTTTGTAAATATGTTAAAATTTACAAAGTTTTTTACATCATAATATTATGACCGGACATCTAAAT